TAGTTTTTGTAGGTTTTTTGGAGCATTTTTCTAGCAGAAAAAAAACGCTAAACGCTCTTAACAGCTTTTTTTTAGCTTTTTTTTCCCCTCTATATGTACTGTAAAAACGCTAATAACACGCAAACGCTCCTAAATGCTTCTGAACACTACTAGAAAACGCTATTACCAATGTTTTTTTATCCAGCGTTTTTTCTATTGTTTTTTGAGCTTAAAAAATGCTAGTGAGCATGGAGCCTAAGTGTTTTTTTAACTTTAATGGATTTTCTCCACTACTTGTTTCTCTCTACCCCCCCCACTTGCCTGCCCCCTCTTACAATCCAGTGCTGTCCTGGCTGCAGCACTGCTCTCCCCTCTTCCGATCTCACAGCCATAGGCTCCTGCTGCTGTCTGTCAAACTCCTATGAGGAGCAAGAGGGGTGGGGCTTATCAGTGCTGTGTGTGTGCGTGTGCGTATCTCTCTATGGATGGGGCACCTGGAGGAGAGGAGGAGCAGACAGTGCTGGTAGGGGACCGCTCTGTGCAATAACGTTACAGAGAATAGGTACTTTTTTTAAATTTTATCCCCGAAATATCACTTTAACATTAGACTCCTTTAGCAACCCTCTTTTTGAAAATTCAGTTCCATCATTTTTACGGCCAGAAAGATATATGAGAAAGCATATGAATTACTTGTGATAGTGTGTATCCTATTACCTGCAGGCTGCTTCTTGTTAAATTCTTCCCCTCACCACCGCCACTGCTAGCCTAAAAATTTGTGTGGTGCCCGTCTGCCCCCTTCTACCCTTTAACCTCCCTGGCGGTATGATTATTTCAGATTTTTGGTGCTGAAAGCGGTACCATTATTTTGCATGGAAATTTGGCGTTTTATATTGTAGGCCTGTAATTCTTAGGAATAACTCACTGAAATCTGTCCGAACAAGAGTCTAGTAAATATCCCAGGTAGGATAAAACTTGAAACATAAATCATAAATTATAATTTAATAAATAATAATATAATAATACATGTAATTAATAATATAATCAAACCAAAAACACTGAAATTTGAAATATAGCGCCAAGTTCGCACATCACTGAGCAAAGTTGCAAAATTGTTTTCAGTGTCTGATGACGACTTTCCCCACGAATCATTAACACTCAATTCTGCAAGTGGTTCTGATTTACTATCGCTGTTCTCTAGCCGGTCTAAAACCACTTTTGACCTAAAGGGACGCTTTTTTGACGCCATGGACGTTTCTCAGTTTCCAGGCAATAAGAACGGTAAAAGTGCAGGCACAGGACAAAGCACTCGGGACAAAATGTATGTGAAATGGTTTGATACAGTAATGTTTTTTTACTATGTGATTTTAGTGAATGTCACTTTTTGTCATTTTCAAATTTCCCGCCAGTTCCGTCCCCGTACGTCCCGACGCTCGCAGGGGACAGAACCCAGAAGACAGGTGCCGGCATCCGCTGGATTACATTGCCGGGGACACTGCAGGAGGGACATCGCGGGAGCGCAGGACAAGGTAAGTGATCGAGGGATAGCGGAGCAGCGCCGCATGGTATTCCCGAGTGTAGCTCGGGGTTACCGCTTGTGGTACTGAAACTTTACCCCGAGCTACACTCAGGAATACCGCCAGGGAGGTTAAGCCATTCAGAGTTTGTTTTTACTGTTCTCCCACAATACATTGCATTCTTGGAAAGAGCAGTGGAATGCCTGTCATTCAGCTGTTCCTCCTCCATTCACAGAACATGATGAGTTGTGGGAGAAGTAATACAAGTTTTGTAAAAGGTGGTAGTGGGCGGGTGAGCGGCGCAACTTTCCACACTAGCAGTATCATGATCCATAGAGGGAGGGGGCAGATCTTTTAAATCATTCGCACATCTACTGAATTGCATAGATGACAGTGACTTGCTAATGAGAAAGGTTCATGACAGTCAGGGAGAAAGCATTTTCATCACTTGCATTGCGCATATTTCACTCATGACAAGTTCTTTTTAGAAGTATCTGCTATTAGATTGAACTTCCTGATTCTTGTACTCCTACATTGATTTTATAACCCACCAGATAATGTGCAAAACAAGCATTACATTTAATTGGCTGCAGTTTCTCTTTGTGTTCCTAACAGCTTCAGCTTAATGATAGTATTAAGATGTGATGTAATAATTGCGCAATTTGACCTAACAAAACAAACATATTCTTTAAGGTTAATGATGGCTAATTAATGTAGTTTGTTCACTAACATTACAATATTTAGTTGCCAAATGGGTTTGCGTTTAACAATGTACCAAGACTAGAAACAGATATTTCAAAATAGTTTTTAAGGTGCTCAAAAGGATACAGGCCTTTTACATAGCCACATATAAATAAAATTCTATTATTGATGCCCACTCTGAGAAAAATGTCAACCCCATCCCCCCTCCCTCTATCTGATCGCTGGAATGAAAAAAAAATGTCACAATCTAAATGTCTGTTTTTACTTACCTTGATCCAAGGACATGTAATGATGCAGCCCCAAGTCTCCTCCTCTTTTGTTTACTTCCTGCTTGGATCCTTCTTTGGATGTCCACGTCATTGCATGCATGACATGGACACATTCTGTTAGATGTCCAGTGGAGGAGAACGTCTACACAGTGGGAAGGTAGGGGACCAGCGATCCTAGGCTCCATTCACACCGCTGGATTTGCAGTCCTCCAGAACCATTGCCGGCAGCAACCTGGAGGGTGCACCTAGGTGAGTATACAGTGGGGCAAAAAAGTATTTAGTCAGCCACCAATTGTGCAAGTTCTCCCACTTAAAAAGATGAGAGAGGCCTGTAATTGACATCATAGGTAGACCTCAACTATGATAGACAAAATGAGAAAAAAAATCCAGACAATCACATTGGCTGATTTGGAAAGAATTTATTTGCAAATGATGGTGGAAAATAAGTATTTGGTCACCTACAAACAAGCAAGATTTCTGGCTTTCACAGACCTGTACCTTCTTTAAGAGGCTCCTCTGTCCTGCACTCATTACCTGTATCAATGGCACCTGTTTGAACTTGTTATCAGTATAAAAGACACCTGTCCACAACCTCAAACAGTCACACTCCAAACTCCACTATGGTGAAGACCAAAGAGCTGTCGAAGGACACCAGAAACAAAATTGTAGACCTGCACCAGGCTGGGAAGACTGAATCTGCAATAGGCAAGCAGCTTGGTGTGAACAAATCAACTGTGGGAGCAATAATTAGAAAATGGAAGACATACAAGACCACAGATAATCTCCCTCGATCTGGGGCTCCACGCAAGATCTCACCCCATGGGGTCAAAATGATCACAAGAACGGTGAGCAAAAATCCCAGGACCACACGGGGGGGACCTAGTGAATGACCTGCAGAGAGCTGGGACCAACGTAACAAAGGCTACCATCAGTAACACACTACGTTGCCAGGGACTCAGATCCTGCAGTGCCAGATGTGTCCCCCTGCTTAAGCCAGTACATATCCAAGCCCGTCTGAAGTTTGCTAGAGAGCATTTGGATGATCCAGAAGAGGATTGGGAGTCATATGTCATATGGTCAGATGAAACCAAAATAGAACTGTTTGGTAGAAACACAACTCATCGTGTTTGGAGGAGAGAATGCTGAGTTGCATCCAAAGAACACCATACCTACTGTGAAGCATGGGGGTGGCAACATCATGCTTTGGGGCTGTTTCTCCGCAAAGGGACCAGGACGACTGATCCATGTACAGGACAGAATGAATGGGGCCATGTAACGTGAGATTTTGAGTGCAAACCTCCTTCCATCAGCAAGGGCATTGAAGATGAAACGTGGCTGGGTCTTCCAACATGACAATGATCCCAAAGATACTGCCCGGGCAATGAAGGAGTGGCTTCGTAAGAAGCATTTCAAGGTTCTGGAGTGGCCTAGCCAGTCTCCAGATCTCAACCCCATAGAAAACCTTTGGAGGGAGTTGAAAGTCTGTGTTGCCCAGCGACAGCCCCAAAACATCACTGCTCTAGAGGAGATCTGCATGGAGGAATGGGCCAACATTCCAGCAAACAACTGACCATGAGAAGTGTTAAAGATGGCCGCCGGCCCACATGGGACTCGGCGGCGTGACGTCTTGACTTCGCAGCTCTTACCCCTATGCGTTTCGTGCTAACTGCACGTAATCATAGGGAGTGTGCATGCACACTCCCTATGATTACGTGCATTTAGCACGAAACGCGTAAGGTTAAGAGCTGTGGAGTCCAGACGTCACACCGCCAAGTCCCATGTGGGCTGGCGGCCATCTTTAACACTTCTCATGGTCAGTTGTTTTGTTTACTATGTCTATGTTTTTGGATCAATAAATTATCCTTTAAACGGTATTACACCATTCTGGCATCCTTTCTTGGGACTCGTGCTGAGCGCACCATCCACAGAGCCACCAGGGAAGGTAGTTGAGAGGTGCTTTATCTTATCGGGAGATCCAAAGGGAACCCCAGATGGACAGAGGTGCCCAAAGGGAAGCCCAGAGATGTTAGACAAGTCCAAAAGAGGATTCCATTTGAGACCTTGAGATGTTAATAGTCTTCTACATGCATATTGGAATTATGCATCTGGTTAGTGTATAATCCGAATATTTGATCACCAGAAGACACACGAAGGATCACTCTATCGTATATTTAATATATAGACTTTGGCACTTTTTTCTGACACTAACCAGTCACTCATATATGCACTTTTGTATGACTATTGTCTTGTTTATCTGAAATCATTTATTCAATAGGTTTATGCTCAGATTTACCTCTTTGAATATATCATTAAGTCACTATTTGCTTCTAGGGCTGCACCTTTTTGATATATTATATGTATTAATGCAGGGTCATTAGCTGCTAAAGGGAAAGCCAATCCAATATGTTTTAGGATGTAAGAAGTTAAACAAGAAGAGTATCCCAACTAAATGAAGTTGCTGACTTTGCAAACAGGTCGATCTTTGCTTCAAATAAACCTTTGTTTTTTCTTTGCTCTTGTTTCTAATTGTGCACAGGTCTGCAATCAATGCCCTCAGACCCGGAGGAACTCTGGTGTATTCTACATGCACTCTCTCTAAAGCAGAAAACAGCGATGTTATTTCTAATGTCTTGAACTCCTGCAGTGATGTTACCCCTGTGGACCTGAATCACATGATCAAAACATTATCTCATGAATTCACGTTTGCTGAACAGGTCCCCCATGGACTGCTAGTTATACCCGATAAAGGAAAATCCTGGGGCCCCATGTTTGTATCTAAATTGATAAAAATATAGTTCTAGCCATTGTTTATGTGTTATGTTACTTACAGATCACTATTTCTCAAGGAATGGTTCTTATTTTGTTTGGTCGATTAGTTGATATATTTTACAGAGGCCTGTGTTGGAAATCAGGAACCACGTATTCAATATAGGATTCCATAGGCAGTGTTAATAAGTGTGTGGGTGTGAAATAATTTCCTAAGGACAAATGTTTGCGGTGGATCTTCTTAAAGTATATTTCCACTTTTGCAGCCAAATCAGGATAACAACTAGCAATCACTTTAAAAAATAGTTTGCTGTTTACATTTATAAATGCTCTTTTCCAAAAACTCCAGAACTGAAAAATCCTGCTTAGCTTTCCTTTCTGTGTAATGATTATGAGGGGGCAGGGCGGTGCATATTTACTTTATAATCAAGCCTGTGTGCACTGTGCTGGAGGATGTTATTATCAGTTGTAAACAAGATTTGAACATTGTCTGTCATAACAAAAGGTTAAATCTCTAGAAGCTGAGCTCCTTGTATTGTATAGTAATAAGGAAAAGCTCAGTGTGTTCCCAGTCTTTTCTGGAAAGACACACACTTTGAAATTGTTCAGAGTAGTTTGCAGTCTGCCCAGAAGCCTGCTCCAAACATTCAAAAGGTAAGAAATATTATTTTTAAAAATTATTTTTAGGTATGCTGCGTGAATTGGAGTGTATAACACACATATAGCGGGGTTTTCTCAAATTTGACCACAAAAGTGAAAACACACTTTAAATCCCTAATATAACAGACATTTTCCTAAAAATAATCCTCATTATTCAGGTTGAAAACATAAAGTGTCATTAGTGAAAATGAAGATTACAGCTCGTGGTAAAAAAATTAGATATAAAGTAATATAAATCTAAGCTGAACTCCAGGCATACAACTAAATGCACAGATGAAATACGTATATGGGAGCTGTTTTATCTGACAAAAATGTGTACTTATGTCCATCCAGTTGTGATATTTAACTATTACTTTGCCACACAGTAAAGCTCTGTCTGCTAGAGCAGGAGACCTAATTTTTCTTCTCTACTGCAGTTAAGGAATTCTCACAGGCCTTGACCCCCCCCCCCCCTCCATTCTTGGACTGTACAGTGAAAGAGAAGCAAAAAAACAATGAGCTCTGCTCTCTGTTTTTATTAGCATCAGCATGTTCCTTGTTAGCACATGAACTGATTGGCTGCTTGTGCTGCTTTTCCCTCTCCCAGTTAGAGTTCTGCTGAACAGGAACTGCTAGAGCAGTGGTTCTCAACCTTTCTAATGCCGCGACCCCTTAATACAGTTCCTCATGTTGTGGTGACCCCCAACCATAAAATTATTTTCGTTGCTACTTCATAACTGTAATTCTGCAGTGGGAGGAATAGTGCCTCATCATTGGTGTCAGTGGGAGGAATAGTGCCCCGTCATTGGTGTCAGTGGGAGGAATAGTGTCCCATCATTGATATCAGTGGGAGGAATAGTGCCCCATCACTGATGTCAATGGGAGGAATAGTGCCCCATCATTGGTATCAGTGGTAGGAATAGTGCCCCCATCATTGGTGTCAGTGGGAGGAATAGTGCCCCATCATTGGTATCAGTGGTAGGAATAGTGCCCCCATCATTGGTATCAGTGGGAGGAATAGTGCCCCCATCATTGGTGTCAGTGGTAGGAATAGTGCCCCATCATTGGTGCCAGTGGTAGGAATAGTGCCCCATCATAGGTGTCAGTGGGGGGAATAGTGCCCCATCGTTGGTGTCAGTGGGAGGAATAGTGCCCCATCGTTGGTGTCAGTGGGAGGAATAGTGCCCCATCGTTGGTGTCAGTGGGAGGAATAGTGCCCCATCGTTGGTGTCAGTGAGAGGAATAGTGCCCCATCGTTGGTGTCAGTGGGAGGAATAGTGCCCCATCGTTGGTGTCAGTGGGAGGAATAGTGCCCCATCGTTGGCGTCAGTGGGGGGAGGAATAGTGCCCCATCGTTGGCGTCAGTGGGGGGAGGAATAGTGCCCCATCGTTGGCGTCAGTGGGGGGAGGAATAGTGCCCCATCGTTGGCGTCAGTAGGGGAGGAATAGTGCCCCATCGTTGGCGTCAGTGGGGGGAGGAATAGTGCCCCATCGTTGGCGTCAGTGGGGGGAGGAATAGTGCCCCATCGTTGGTGTCAGTGGGGGGAGGAATAGTGCCCCATCGTTGGTGTCAGTGGGGGGAGGAATAGTGCCCCATCGTTGGTGTCAGTGGGGGGAGGAATAGTGCCCCATCGTTGGTGTCAGTGGGGGGAGGAATAGTGCCCCATCGTTGGTGTCAGTGGGGGGAGGAATAGTGCCCCATCGTTGGTGTCAGTGGGGGGAGGAATAGTGCCCCATCGTTGGTGTCAGTGGGGGGAGGAATAGTGCCCCATCGTTGGTGTCAGTGGGGGGAGGAATAGTGCCCCATCGTTGGTGTCAGTGGGGGGGGAGGAATAGTGCCCCATCGTTGGTGTCAGTGGGGGGAGGAATAGTGCCCCATCGTTGGTGTCAGTGGGGGGAGGAATAGTGCCCCATCGTTGGTGTCAGTGGGGGGAGGAATAGTGCCCCATCGTTGGTGTCAGTGGGGGGAGGAATAGTGCCCCATCATTGGTGTCAGTGGGGGGAGGAATACGGCCCCATCATTGGTGTCAGTGGGAGGAATAGTGCCCCATCATTGGTGTCAGTGGGAGGAATAGTGCCCCATCATTGGTGTCAGTAGGAGGAATAGTGCCCCATCGTTGGTATCAGTGGGAGGAATAGTGCCCCCATCGTTGGCATCAGTGGGAGGAATAGTGCCCCATCGTTGGCATCAGGGGGAGCAATAGTGCCCCAACATTGGCGTCAGTGGGAGGAATAGTGCCCCATCGTTGGCGTCAGTGGGAGGAATAGTGCCCCATCGTTGGTATCAGAGGGAAGTATAGTGCCCCATCGTTGGTGTCAGTGGGAGGAAAAGTGCCCCATCGTTGGTGTCAGTGGGAGGAATAGTGCCCCATCGTTGGTGTCAGTGGGGGGAGGAATAGTGCCCCATCGTTGGTAATAGTGACACCAATGATTGGGCACTATTCCTCCCACTGACAGCAATGATACTTACCTTGCTGACCCCTGCTCCAGCCTGGGCTCGCTCGCTCCCTCCCTCTCCCATTATTTACAAAACACTTACCGGTCAGATGGCTTCCTTCTCCGGCCGCTTTCCTCCTCTTCACTCGCTCGTGCTTCGCGGTGCCGCTCGGCTCCTCCTTTCCAAGCTCCACCTCCTCGCCGGTGATTGGCCGCCTGTGTGCCTCTCTTGAGCTACAGTTCCGGCGGCCAATCACCGACGAGGAAGGATTGATCCCGGGGGTGTGTCCAGATGACAGGGATGTCATCCCGCCCACACCTGCAGACGGATCAAGGAGCGGTGTCTCGGTTCCTAAGGCCATCGGAAATATGTGTTTTCCGATGGTCTTAGGCGACCCCTGGGAAAGTGTCGTTCGACCCCCAGGTTGAGAACCGCTGTGCTAGAGGCTGATATCAAGTCAAATTCAGGTACTTACATTAATAATAATTTGTGTATGCATTGATAAATACAGAACTACATTCATTTGTATCTTTATATACCTGGTTAGAGTTCAGCATTAAGTTTGGAAAGTATACAAAAATATCCAAATTCTGGATGCCCTTCTGAGCATTTTTTATTATTATTACTACTATAAATAAGCTTAAGAATATTTTTGCAGATTATCCTAAATCTGTTTATACTATTTTATTCATTTTTTTCCCAGGTATTTGTTTAGCACCAACAATTTGTGCAGAACTTTACATTTATATTATACTTCACATCAGTCCCTGCCCTCAAGGAGCTTACAATCTAAGGTCCCTAACTCACATTCATACATATGCATGCTAGGGCCAATTGAGACAGGAGCCAATTAACCTACCAGTATGTCTTTGGAGTGTGGGAGGAAACTGGAATACCCAGAGGAAACCAACATAGGCAAATGGATATCATGCAAACTCCAGGCAGGTAGTGCCATGGTTGGGATTTGAACCGTCATCTCTGGTGCTGCCTGGTGCAGAAATCTGTTCACAAATCATAACTGTATTTTTTAATTGTTTGTTTTCTCTTTGAAGACCAGTTCACACTGGAACGCACGTATTCCCTTGTAGCCCTGTGCACTTACGTGCCTTCCTATTTGGACAGCCAATTCATTTCAATGGGCTGCCAAATGTACCAGAACACGGAAAAAGTAGTGCAAGCACTACCTTTTCAGATCACATTGCACCAAACTACATGGTTCAATACCATGTGGTTTTGTGGCTGCAAACAAGCTGCATTTCCAAGATTTGGGGTAACATTTACAATTAATTGGCATCCACATGCATGTCGCAAGGGCAGCACGTGTATGTGCAGTGAAGGAAACGTGCCCAGAGCATTACTTTCCTTTAGCATGTTATGGTGTGAATGGGCCCTGAATTCACCTGAATATTTCCACGCAGATGCTTAATCTGCAAGGTACCACACAATTGAGGAATTCAGACAGCGATATGTCCACAGATTATATTGGGTATGAATATATTAAGCAAAAAAAAAAAAAACATAAAAATGGTTTGCGAATCAGTTTAGTTATCGCTTTGCTCTATCAAACAACCCATACAGTGTCTACAAAAGGCTTTTTATTTGTGAAGTAGCTTGATACTTCAGTAAATTATATTCCAGAGCTATGGTTGACCTCTATGGAAGGGTAGCACAAAATAAAAGATGTTCAAATTAATGGAGTTGACTTACTAAAGGCAATTAGGCTGTTCACTTTGCAAGGGAATTTGCCCCAGAGTTTAGTGAATGCAGTGAAATTTCACTTTGCAAAAAATAATCCAATCACATGCAAGGAAAATTAAAATTAAAAAAAAAACAGCTTTGCTTGCACATTATTGGATGATGGAAGTCAGCAAAGCTTCACCACATTATCTAGGCTTTGAGGCAAACTTCCCTTCAAAGTGAAACTTCCCTTACAAAGTGAACAACCTATTTATC